TGACCTGATGCTTGTCTTGGTGAGCTCTGCACAGCTAACAGAAACACACTGATAATCTTTGTCTCTCCTCTTCAACTCTGCAGGAACTGGATGTTTAAAAAACAAGTTGAAGGAGTTTTTGTATTTACGTCAGTCACACTGTAGCCTGAATGCTCTGCTACGCTGCTGGTGCTGCTGACTCTGGTGTGTGAACCTCCCATCTGTCAGTCTGTGTGTTGCACTGGCTGAACCAAAGCCATGGAGGTGGCCTTGGTAGACTTTGAGAGCCTGGATGACCTTGCTGGCAACCTTGGAGATGAGGTGGACACCTATGCTGATGAGACCACAGCTCTCACAGTGGACATGCCCCCAGAGCACAGCAGCCCAACCAGCAACTACCATCTAAGAGCCACAGACCTAACACCTACACCTTCCCACTGCAGCCCTATACCCCCATACATTTGGGAATCGACCTCCTCTTCACCCATCCCGCAGACACTTACAGTACCACAGTCCCCGACGATGCCAACTCCAACTAGAAAGGGGCGTAGCAGCTGCGCTAGCATGATCTCAAACTTTAAACTGCTGCTAAGCAGTGAGGGCAGCAAGGAAAGTGAGATGATCTTCAACCGGCTTGCTAAGGAGTGCTGTGAGGATCTCTTTGTTGATAAACGAGGCTTGGATGATGGAGATCAGAAAGTCATCATCAACATTGCCGGTCTTCGTTTTGAGACGCAGCTTAAAACACTGGACCAGTTTCCTGAGACACTTCTAGGGGACCCTTTGAAGAGGATGGAGTACTTTGATCCGATGAGGAACGAGTACTTCTTTGATCGGAACAGACCGAGCTTTGATGGGATTTTATATTACTACCAGTCAGGAGGTAAAGTTAGACGACCAGCTAACGTTCCCCTTGATGTGTTTGCAGATGAAATTCAGTTCTATGAGCTTGGAAACGAGGCTATGGAGCAGTTCAGAGAAGAAGAAGGATTCTTAAAAGACGTTGAGATTCCTCTTCCTAGTAACGATGTGTACAGACAATTCTGGCTGCTGTTCGAGTACCCAGAGAGCTCCAATGCAGCACGAGGTGTAGCGCTGGTGTCCGTCCTCGTCATTGTCATATCCATTATTATTTTCTGCATGGAAACACTACCAGAATTCAGAGATGAGATGGACCCAGTTGTGCCCACAGCAGTGCAACCTTTTAACCAATCGCAGGGCTCTGCGGGCCCGCCTGGTGTCAAGCCCACAACGTTCTCTGATCCTTTCTTCATCATTGAAACTGCCTGCATTGGTTGGTTTTTCTTTGAGCTGTGTGTGCGATTTTTGGTCTGCCCTAGCAAAAGAGAGTTTTTCCACAACCTCATGAACATTATTGACATCATATCGATCATCCCTTATTTTGTCACTGTGATTACAGAATTGGCCACAACTCCAGCAGAAAGCTCAGGGCAGAACATGTCTTTGGCCATTCTACGTATCATCCGCTTGGTGCGGGTGTTTCGTATATTCAAACTGTCTCGTCACTCTAAAGGGCTCCAGATCCTGGGACAGACTCTGAAGGCCAGCATGCGTGAGCTCGGGCTGCTCATCTTCTTCCTCTTTATTGGAGTTATCCTTTTCTCCAGCGCTATCTACTTTGCTGAGGTAGACGAGCCAAATACGGTGTTTGTCAGCATACCCGATGGCTTCTGGTGGGCTGTTGTTACCATGACCACTGTAGGCTACGGAGACATGTGTCCCATTACCATGGGGGGTAAGATGGTGGGCACCTTGTGTGCCATTGCAGGTGTGCTGACTATTGCCTTGCCTGTTCCCGTCATTGTTTCCAACTTCAACTATTTCTACCATAGAGAGGCAGAAGCAGAGGACAAGTTGCCCTTGGCTGATGCTGTTGAGAAAGCCATAAAGGATACCACACAGGGTAGCAACACCTCGCTCAATAAAGCCAACGGGATCTGGCAGAGTGACAAAGGGAAGTGACGTCAGAAGACTGTTCAATAGGGGGTGAAACTTTGCCACTAAGCAGTAAATATTAAATAGTCACTGTTAAGAGTGGCCAGTTGGCTTCGTTACATCTGCACTGCACCTTGTGAAAAATATGTTTTTTAATTATAAACTGGTTGTACCACATTTACCTCTTTTTGTCCAATATGGAAATGACATTTTGAAAATGAGTTCCCCATATTCATGTTATTATGTTTCATGGTAGGTGTTTAGGTTGCACAGACCCAAGAAACGTTCTTCATTCTCGTGTATGTTTAACAGATCCTTCCAAAGGAAACCTTCTGTTCATTGGCCAGTAATCCTAATGTTTACAACATGTTGTGATTTTGTCCTCGAGGATGTTTAACGCAGCTTTCCAACAGCATTTTAATGGGCCATAAAGTATTAAACCATTTAAAGTTCATCTACAGTAAAGAAAATTCTTAACTTTCATATTGTTAATGTATATCTAATAATTCAACATTTCATCCTATTGCAATAAATTCTCTCCTGCTCAAAAACTGATGCTTATATATAATATTTACAGTGTCTGCCTCACACGGCCCACTTTTCATCTCACGGCTTAACTGAAATCTTCTATATTTTCCGATTAAAATTGCAACTCTGCAAAACTGATTGAATTGCTGGCCAGTTCTGAACAAACAAAGGTCACTCCTTTCCTCTAAGTGTCTTCAAAGACTAATTTGTGTTGTGCTTATTGTCTAGATTAGAGCCATCACATATTTATTTATTTATTTATTTACACAAAACGTGAATCATAATTGTGAAGTATTCATTCATTCTCACTGGGTTGACCAAGTACGAACTCACAGTCAGACTGATTCCACTTCATATAGTTGTTGTTTTTATTTGTTGTATTGTAATGGAGTGCCTTAAATCATCCAATGTTGGGACACTGTTGAATATGCCATATATAATTCCACTGTAATACCTCTGTCTGTCACACATATATGCTCAGTATTTTTGGTTTCATATTTGACTGGTGTTATAAAGGTTATAACCATTTTGTCCCTTTCATGCATTTGTGTGTTATTTAAAAAAAAGGTGTGTCCAACATAATATTCTGGATCTGAATCTTGAAAGAAGTTATGTGAAGTGTAATGGATCTACACTCTTCATGGGGTCACATCAGTTCTCCCAAATTTGGATTTCATCTTTTTTTCCTTTCATTCACTGTCTTATTGTAGACGAAGAAACTTCAGTTACAGAGGATTAGTGTCGATGTCAAAGAAAATATAATGAGAGATGAAAGAAGCCAAAGATAATTGCTTATAAAGGTAAACAAAGGGATCTGTTATCCCATAACTCAAAAACTGTGCTTCTGCAACGTAATATAGAGGTGGGTCTTTGAAAAGTGGCTCATAAAAATAAATTCTGGAAAGAAAAATTGAGATAATCTGGATCCAAGGATGTGATTTTTATCTCAAAATACATAACATCCAACTTTGGACAGACTTTAGAGTGTGGTGGTTGAGCATATGATGACAATGAGATTATAGAACAAGTGAGCCCATCAGAATTACTTGGTTTTCTACACAATGTGATCTTTGAAGGTTTTTACACAATTAGCTTATTACTAAACTGTACTCATGCATCAGGGTCTTTATTGGGCTTTGCTTAGATTTATTTGTTCCCTTGTTTGCCCGGGTTCAATTTTATCAGGTGGGAACTATCCTGGCAATATAGGATACTTTCATTAATTAGAAATTGATGATGACTGGCTTATAATAGGCCTACAGACACAGACTCTCACATTATTGACAGTAAGTGTCAGTAATGTCTATATGTAGCTTGGTGTACATGCCAACTTTAAATAAAAATGTTGCACCTTAGATGGAGCTTTGCTGGATTAGGCACCACTTGCACGGGCTAGAGACAGCTCAGCAACAGTCTGGTAACTCAACTGAAATCACTGTGGAAAATGTGTACTCTCCAACCACCTGGCAAGTGGACGTTGTTGGCTATCATTGTGAAATCGATTCCTGAAGTCACGCAGGTCTAGACTGGTCATTGACCTCCCTGGCAACCACAGATTACTGGGAAAAATGTTGCCCCTTGCACTGATTGCTCTGTATGACTGAGACTTACATGTTTGCTAATTTTATAAGCATAAGGATTCACATTTTGCATCATATTGTATAGCAGTAATAATAATAATAATAGTGGAAAGATAACCTGAAGATCGACCCATATTCTAATTTCACGTAAATGTGAATCCAAGCAATTCACTTCTTTTTCTGTCACTACGTGTTACTTTGTGTGTTTGACAATCAGCTTTGTGGTCATAATGATAACTAACTGTAACCGTTTTTGTTGATACAGGTAATCACTTGTTCAGCTGGTAAACTGTCCTTAAATGATAACAGCACACTCGTGAAAACAATAAGCCAGAGTTTATTTCATTACGAAGACCTTTACACTGTATTCATACGTATGAAAACATACGATTTACTGTAATGAAGATGTAATACATCCTGGGATTTTAAATGTTTCTTCTCATGTTTTATATGCACTGCTGTGTTTATAGAAAGTTGTGCTTGTGTGGATGGAGATACAAAGGTGTGCATGTTTTATGAAAGACACACAAGGTGACAGAGAGGAGTGAACTTTCTTGTATTCCCTCCGTGTTCCCCCTTCAGGTAAGAAAATCCCCAATAAGATTTCGTCATGACTTTCATTAAGCAGTTTCTGCTTTCACTGTAATGCTAGTGCCATACACACAAACACTGGCAGTCTGTGAGGTACCAACAGGATGCCAGTCTCTGCTATCTTATGTTGCTCGATAGCTTCACCTGATACTGTTCTCTGTAGATGTAACTCCTCATCTCAGTGAAATAAAGCAGTACAATAAAGTACATCATCTGAACTGTTCTGCACATTAGGTGTAGGCCTAAATGTGGACTCAGTGAAATAGTCTATTGTGCCCACTTGCAATATAGTTATCAGCACTGGTGCCATATAGTCTTTTTTTCTAACCATGTAGGTGTTTTTGGATCCAGATCTAGTAAACAATAATACAAAATATTGTGTCTGTGTAATAAAATTAATTTTAAATAAATTTCACTTATCAGCACAATTTCATGAATCATCATGATAGTGCTCATCAAAGGAAAAGACACTTAACAGGGTGCAAAGGTGAACAGCAACAACAGCGATGCAAACACACACTGACACCACAATCATGTGTGTGATTAAAAGTTTCTACTTTTGCAGGTTTTATGATGTTAATGATTGCATACTCAGTATTCCAGAATTGCTGCAACATAACATAATAGCAACGTGCACTGACTGTGACCTCTTGAAGTTTAAATAGGCAGCACAGGACGACCAACAGTTAACTGAGACGACAATCTGGACGTGCTGACCAAAACCCAGTGTTGGTCAAGTTACTTGAAAAAAGTAATTAGTAACTAATTACTGATTACTAAGTAATCCCGTTACTTT